GGAAGAAGAAAGGGGGTGTGGGCCCCCACTATGCAGATCAGGTCACTACTAAGGAAGCTGAGGGGGGGACTTTTTACAAGGGCCTGTAGTGACAGGACGAGGGGTAATGGGTTTAAATTGAAAGCGGGCAGGTTTAGATTGGATATCAGGAAAAAGTTCTTCATGGAGAGGGTGGTGAGGCAGTGGAACAGGTTGCCCAGAGAAGCTGTGGATGCCCCATCCCTGGAAGTGTTCAAGGCCAGGCTGGATGAGGCTTTGAGCAACCTGGTCTAGTGCAAGGTGTCCCTGCCCATGGCAGGGGGGGTGGAACTAGATGATCTTTAAGGTCCCTTCCAATCCAAACCAGTCTGTGATTCTATTAAAGTGAAGAGTTTTTTTTCCCCTATTATATTTTGTATGTTTGACAGAAAGCTTTGGGTAGTAGGCCTTGGCATTTGGTTTGCAGCATCGATTGGTTTTCCCTTGGGCCCGTTTGTGTGGATGAGTTAATAGCAGAAAGAAGGAAAAGACATGGCTGCGTGGTTGTGGAACTATGGATCTTGAGAGGAGTATAAGAAGCAGGTGTCACTTCCAAAACTTCTGATTAAAAACTAAAGGAATACTGGATTGCTAGGTAAGAGCACTGTTTAAAAAGGATGCAGGCAGGTTAAGGACAGCACCTTGAAAGGTTTGTAGGGCATGCAGCACTGATAAAAACTTGGTCAGCACCGTTGACTGTCCTCTTGAGCGTTCAGGCGTAGGGCTTTCCTGTGCTCCAATGGCTGTGGTAACCGTGCGGATTCATACAGACTGTTCATCTGAAGCATGTCGGTGGTTTTGCTGAAACAAAAGAGAGCCTCTTCTTGTCCAAATCTCCCGATGTTTCTCTGGAGGTACTGTCACGATGTTAAGTCTGCGTTGGCAGTGAAAGGGTAAGTCCCAGTCTTGTGTTTAGCCACATTCTTTCATACCAACGTTCGTGCAGCTGCAGGATGAGTTGGATCGGGGAACCGATCTAGCTGAAAACTGCCTGCTTTACCTTGAATCCCAGAGCCAGCGTAAGGGAGGTGGTGGAAATGTGTGCTGGGGGCGGGACACACAGGGCTTCCGTTCTTGGTACTGTGTTCTGACGTGGTTCAGAGTGAGTATGCGATCCTGTCCTCCTTATCTGGAAGATGTCCTTGCTTTGTGCCAGCTCCCTGGGATGGCCTGCTCGTGTGTTTGCATGCGTTTGACAAAAATACGGTATGTGGCCCACTTCTGTTAGCTGGGATGAAATTTTCCCAATCTCCTCCATTCAAAAACCACTCAAGATTGCAGTAAACATAAGTTAGTTCTTTAGTCTCAAGGGAAAATGATGAAGGTGGTAGCTTTAGTATGGCACTTGAAAACGGTGCCGTGGGTAAATAACTTCCAGAGCCTTCTAACTGGTGAAGGGTTCCTTTGTGGTGTGGTGTTGGAATTTGATGTCGGGCTGTTGCATTGAATGGGGTATGGCTGAAGGGCCCTTGAGAAGGCAGTGTTTGCTGCAGTGGCTTATTGTGTGCTCAGACATACTCGGTGCAGTAGAAATTGGGTCATTTTAGTGAATATTTGATTAAGAGGTTCCTTCACCCTTTCTGAACCTTACTCTGAATTCAGTCTGAGGTCTGTGCTAACTTTTAAAGGATATGTGGAGAGGAGAGAAGCAAAGCATCTCTTTGATTCTGGTTTTAAGAAATTATTCTCTCTAACCATGGGATAGGGTCACTGCTAGAATTTAGGGGCAGCAGGGTAGAAACTGGGGGAGAGGTTGCTCTGCATGGTTCTTTATTGCTCCTTTGGTGCACTTACACATGGCCAAGGTTATATCAATGGTCGCCTTTGTGTTGGGCCTTGCAGTTTAGCATAGTGTCTTTTTAAATACTGCTCTTGCCTAGCATGAACAACTTGGAAATTAATCCTGCTTGAGCAGGAGATTGGACTAGATGACCTCCAGAAGTCCCTTCCTAGATAATTCCTTGGTCAGGAGTGTATTAGTGACTAAGTATTAGGCAGCGCTGGTGTTTGTCCTGTCCAGGGTACTGTGAAGTGCACTCCTGTATCAGTTGGGCAGTACTGACAGCAGACTTTTGGGAATTCTTGCAGATTTTCCTGTGCTTGAGGGTTAGGCGGGTACTCCTCCCATACACCTCGGAGCACTGAAACCTGGTCGGAGTCAACTCTGGGAGAGCCACCTTCAGAACCAAACTGGGGTCACGCGCATTCCCCGGTGCCAGTGCTAAGGGGAGAGGAGCCGGGTGCGCAGAGGGCGGCAGCTTTCATTGCTCCTCAACTTTGGCACCAGCTTGGAACATTCGTGTGGCAGCACCCAGTGTGACAGAGTGGACGGCTTCTGCACCCTCGGGAGTTCAGTAGTTAGCTGCTTCGCAGAGGTCAAATACCACACACACAGCTGCAGAGCTGGGACAGAGTCTGGTTGAGGAGCACCTGGAAAGAGACCCAGGCTGTTGGCTGTTCCTTTCTAGAAGGGAAGCTGGCGTGTTAGGAAAGCTGAAGGTGTGATTCACTCTTTGTGAGCCCACTTGTACCCTTTCATGATGTACCCCATGCCACAGGTGCATTCTTCTCTTCCCTCTACCCGGAACCTTCCTACTAATTGGAAGCATCCCCCCTGTTTACTTAGTTCCTAACAGGATGCTTCATACCAAATAATCAGTCGTATGAAGTTTCTTAGCTTGTGACACATCTTAATGTGCCAAGGAATAATTCTTAGCAAAGAAGGGGGTACTGAGTCATCTGGAAAAATAAACAGTCCTTGGACACTTAACACTGTTGATGCTTTTGCCGGTAGTTTTGTAACTTCAAACCTTCGCTGCTGCCCCAGGGTAGAAACAAACGGTGACTCCTCCCAGGAGTGGGGAGTGAGCTCAGCGCTTAGGCAGGGCTTTGGGACTCTGACGTGCGGCCTTCAGCACATCTAGCTGTGCTGGTCCTCGTGTTGCTGTCCCTCTGACAGCGGGCAGGCCTCTCCTGTGGGCCTTAGGTAGTGGTGAGGATGAGTAGGCCCGTCCTCTCCTGCCACCGAGCCTGGCATGCCTGCCAGTGGAATACAGGCAGGGTGACAGTGGCAGTTGGACCCCCCAAGAAACATCCAGACAACGGAGAGGCCAACTTGCTGTCTGTTTGGGGTTTCCGGAGGGATCCAAAGCCTCTCTGCGATTCTCGAGGAAGTAAGAGCAGTATTACCCACCCCGTTTTGAGTTTCACACGGGGAAACAGCACACCCAAGTGCAGAACGGGACACATGCTGTCCTCCCTGGTGACACGAGGTACGGGCTTAGGCAAGGCAGCGGAGTTGAACCTGCTTAGAAATCCTAGGAGCAGCAAGATAATTGGACCTTGACTGCCAGCAGCACTGTAAATCCTGCCTTGTTTTCCTGAGGGTCACACAGCTGCCTTGGAATCTCATGTTGGAGAGGGGACACTGCCGGTGAGCTCTGAAAAGAAGCTCTGAACTCATTTGGAGATTTTTCTGCCCCACTGAAAAATGGCTTTGTTTGGCAAATACGTGTGACAGGCAAGGCAGTTCACCAAGTAGCCTGTGCTTTGCAAGTTAATAAAAATGGCTTTACAGTGTAATTCTGCAGTTTGACCCTAAGCTCATCAGAACTGGCAGAGGGAGATAAGAGGTCAATGCATTTTTAATGTTTACTTTAGAAAAGAGAGAAGCTGAGTTGGTTAGGCTGCTGCTGTCGAAGTAGTGTCTCACAGCAGTAATCGCAGATGGATGGAAAGTCTTACCTATACCTGAGCTGGCTCAAAAGACAACTGGCTCAAGGTCCGTGTCGTTTTCTCTCTTCCCTTGGATCTCCCTCCGTAGCTGCCTGGGTCATCGCTCCCTAGCTGCTGTGTGACAAAGTGATCCCCATCCAGATAAGCCTGGAGAAGAGGGTGCGGTGAACTCGGGCAGAGGTTACACTTCTAACCCAGCTCTGCTGCGGTCGGGGTGGGGTTTCATTTTGGGTTGAGCGGGCACCATAATGTTAGAGGGAACGGTTTCATCTGGGCAGCCTTTGCAGGGCGAGGTGTGATTGTGGTCTCGACACACAGGCGGCTAACGCTTTGTGCTGAGAGGGAGCACACCCTCAACGCTGGAGCTTTGTCTTGTTTCTTGTCCAGCAAATTGTGTCTTGAAGCTTTGATGCCAGACAGCAGGGTCTCTCTGGCTTTTTTGGTTTTATAGAATCACAGACTGGTTTGGATTGGAAGGGACCTTAAAAACCATCTAGTTCCAACCCCCCTGCCATGGGCAGGGACACCTTCCACTAGAGCAGGTTGCTCAAAGCCTCATCCAGCCTGGCCTTGAAGACAGCCAGGGATGGGGCATCCACAGCTTCTCTGGGCAACCTGTTCCAGTGCCTCGCCACCCTCTTTGGGAAGAACTTCTTCCTGATATCCAATCTAAACCTCCCTGCTTTCAATTTAAACCCATTACCCCTTGTCCTGTCACTACAGGCCCTTGTAAAAAGTCCCCCCCAGCTTCCTTGTAGCCCCTTCAGGTACTGGAAGGTGCTATAAGTTCTCCCCGGAGCCTTCTCTTCTCCAGGCTGAACAAGCCCCACTCTCTCAGCCTGTCCCCATAGCAGAGCAGCTCCAGCCCCGCTGATCTATAGGTAGCACTGGTAACTTTTCCTGGTCACTGCAGTCCTCTAAACTGGTTCACATCCAGAATTCTCAAGCCTGCCTTTTGTTACGTGGTTCACAGTGCACGCAGGAGGGCCGTTACCTCTGCGCACGGGAGACTGCAGCGCAGCGATACCGAATCCGGCTTTGTAGTATGCACATCTGAGTTACGCTGCCTGCTGTTGATCTGCTTCGTGTCGTGCTGCGGATGCCGTTAGCGCTCTGTGTGCTGTGGATTGCAGTGCCTGGAGAGGTCCTGAGACTCCAATGTGTGATTCACATAAGGAACAGGAAGGGAAACACATTTTATCCAATTTCCAGAGTTCTTAATTCTCTTGTTTTTTTTACGCAGGGCAGGTTACCAGAATCCAAATGGCTCTCTGGAGTAGGCGATTGGGTTTATCCTTAACCCATCTAAGCAGCGCAGTGATCCAGCGACACTTCAGGTGAGCTTCAAATCCTGCTTTTGCTTTTGTTTTCTTGAGAGAATTTCCTGATTGCAAGAGATGCTGTTAAGTAGGTCAAGCATAAGATACACTATTTCTAAATGAAAAAGGATAATAAAATAGAATCTCATAGTTGTCTCTTCACAGGCTGGAAAAGGAGCCCAAACACACCGACAGAGGGAGGTTTGTGACAGTCTGAGTGTGGTCTGAACTCTGCGTTTTTGTATGCTTGTAAGGAGGCTTTTAGACCTCTGAGGGCAATGCAAAGGCCTGCAAGCAGAAGTTTAAAGTGCTCGTTTCTCAGCCAAGTCCAAAAAAGCAACAGCCAGGCCATGCTGATGTAGAGCCCATCACATGTTTAAAATTATTGCAGAGTTTATAATTTCAGTTATTTAGAACAAGAGTAACCTGAAAAAGTATTGCCTTGTAGCTTAAAAGTGTCCGTTTTGTTATTTTTCTTTAGGTCCTTGTTCCAGGCTCAAGGCATTTAAAGCTCCTTAAATTTATGGACCTCATGTTTTACAGCATCTTGCATAAAGCTTAGGGCCTAATCCCACAGTACCCTCGGTGTGGGTATGGGAATCTTTAGTGTACGGCCCTTTGAAAGGTCAGGGCTTGAGTTTATAGGGTGAGAATAGTCGTTCCCATGGCTGCAGTCTAGAGGGGGGATTAAGACAATGCTCAGGGCTAGGTTATGCGGTAGTCCCAGGAGCCATCTGGAGGAGGTATCCCAGTCTTACTGGCTTTCTCTGTAAGTGGGTTGCGTGAGAGCATCGGGCAGTAGTTTAAAGGGTATCTACACGCTGACAGCGAGAGGGAGGCCAGGCCCACAGAGGCGAACAGTGCTACTGCAGGCCATCAGCAGTCTTAACGGGGAAACCTGTCCTGTGTGGTGGGCCTGCTTTGGATGTGGTGGGGTTTTGCTGCAAGAATCTGGTAGAAATGAATGAAGGAGTGGAAAGAAGTAGTCCTTCTTGTGCGGTCACTCTTGCCTAGTGGTACCTGGGCAATCATGCTTAGTTGTTTGTTATTTCTGCGTTGTGACCTTCGTCCCACATGGGTTTCCCCTTCTCCTTCCTGTGACAACACACTTGTCCCTTTCCAGTGTCCTCCCTTCCCTGCTCTGCAGCCACAGCTAGGGTGGAGGACTGAGTGTGGTATGCCACAGTCCTGCCAGGGGATGGGATGGGAGAGGTCAGCAGCTTGCAGAGATGGGTGACTTCTGAGAGAGGTGTCTGCTTATAGGGGAAGGCTGGGGTAGGCCTCTGCTGTGGGCAACAGTTATTGAAAGGCAGCACTGGAACTCTGGAGCA